GGTCTGGGAGGAGAATCCCCAGGACAGCATCCACTTACTCATCAGGAGCATGCTCAGGCGTTGTCGGTAGTGCATACAGCATGTGGAGGGCATACAGACTACTGAGTCACATTATACTGAATTCTGTAAACTGGTTTAAAAACCAGACAGTGAATCATGTAAACTGGTTTAAAAATGAAATGCTGAATCATGTAAATGTCTTTAAATAGGCCTACAGTTTCAAGCTTGTTTCAAATCTAGATTCTGGTGACACATACTCGATACAAAAAGACAGATAACTTGTTGTCTTTAACTTTTACATGGAGTCCTGATGAAGGACAACAGTGGATGAACTGAATGGATCTCTTTATAATTCTCTTACCTTGTAAACCTATACAAAGGACATCAGAAATCATTAGATAAAAGCTCTATGAGGCAGCTCATGAATAAATGCATCACTGGCACAAAACCCTGATGTTCTCTCTTTTAGGCTGAAGTTACAGCTGTTATTAAAAAGAAATCATCAGTATTAACTTTCAGCTGTTTAGAAAAGCTGTGTTCATCCCATTAGTGTGATGAAATGTTGAACTTCCTCACTGTTGAACAGAGATAAGATGAAGACTTCTGCTGCGTTGATGACTGAGACTTTTATGCGGAAAAACACACTCTGTGGTTTCAAAGTTGCTTCATTCTCACACTTGTCAACAACAGTGAAAGTGTGGGAACTTTATACAGGTCTTTATCTAGTTGAAGAGGTATTGGACTAGTTGCAAAGGCGTTGGAGTAGTTGCAGATGTCTTCCGGTTAGTTGCAGAGGTGTTGATCGAGTTCCAGAGGCGTTAGACTAGTTGTAGAGGCCTACAGGTTACTTGCAGAGATGCCGGACTAGTTGCAGAGGTCTAAGGGTTAGTTGCAGAGGCCCACAGGTTGGTTGCAGAGGTGTAAGGGTTACTTGCAGAGTCCTCGAGGTTGGTTGCAGAGGCTGTAGACTACTTGCAGAGGTGTTAGACTATTTGGAGAGGTCTAAGGGTTAGTTGCAGGGGTGTTGGACTAGTTGCAGAGATCTAAGGGTTAGTTGCCGAGGTCTACAGGTAGGTAGCAGAGGTTGTAGACTAGTTGAAGAGGTGTTAGACTACTTGGAGAGGTCTAAGGATTAGTTGCAGAGATCTAAGGCTTAGTTGCAGAGGCCTGCAGGTTGGTTGCAGAGGTCTTGGGGTTGGTTGCAAAGATCTTGGGCAAGTTGCAGAGGTGATGGACTAGTTGCAGAGGCCTCTGGGTTAGTTGCAGATGTCATGGACCAGTTGCAGATGTATTAGATTAGTTGCAGAGGTCTTGGGATTAGTAGCAGAGACTTTGGACTAGTTGCAAAGTTTGTTGCAAAGGTCTTGGACTGGTTGCAAAGGCCTTGGGCTCATTGCAGATGTCTTTGGATTAGTTGTAGAGGTGTTGAACTAGTTGCAGAGGTGTTGAACTAGTTGCAGAGGTGTTGAACTAGTTGCGGAGATGTGAGGCTAGTTGCAGAGATGTTGAACTAGTTGCAGAGGTGTTGAACTAGTTGCGGAGATGTGAGGCTAGTTGCAGAGGTGTTGAACTAGTTGCAGAGGTGTTGAACTAGTTGCGGAGATGTGAGGCTAGTTGCAGAGGTGTTGAACTAGTTGCAGAGGTGTTGAACTAGTTGCGGAGATGTGAGGCTAGTTGCAGAGGTGTTGAACTAGTTGCAGAGGTGTTGAACTAGTTGCGGAGATGTGAGGCTAGTTGCAGAGGTGTTGAACTAGTTGCAGAGGTGTTGAACTAGTTGCGGAGATGTGAGGCTAGTTGCAGAGGTGTTGAACTAGTTGCAGAGGTGTTGAACTAGTTGCGGAGATGTGAGGCTAGTTGCAGAGGTGTTGAACTAGTTGCAGAGGTGTTGAACTAGTTGCGGAGATGTGAGGCTAGTTGCAGAGGTGTTGAACTAGTTGCAGAGGTGTTGAACTAGTTGCGGAGATGTGAGGCTAGTTGCAGAGGTGTTGAACTAGTTGCAGAGGTGTTGAACTAGTTGCGGAGATGTGAGGCTAGTTGTAGAGGTGTTGAACTAGTTGCAGAGGTGTTGAACTAGTTGCGGAGATGTGAGGCTAGCTGCAGAGGTGTTGAACTAGTTGCAGAGGTGTTGAACTAGTTGCGGAGATGTGAGGCTAGTTGCAGAGGTGTTGAACTAGTTGCAGAGGTGTTGAACTAGTTGCAGAGGTCTTGGACTTGCCAGTACAGAACATTATGTGCAGAACAAAGAACTAGAACAACATTATTTCCTGTTGTTGACATTCTTCACCTCCTGATCCTTAAACATTGAGTGTCTGCTCACACAGGGGTCATGTAATATCATTATGCAGCATTTAAATATCTGTATTTACTTTTTAATGTCTCTGGTAATGACACTGAAACTGATAATAGATTAATGTTGAAATCATTTTCTCAGTTGATTTGTGTGTTTAGAGGATAAACACTTTAACCAGAGCTCGTATGATGTGTGAACATGAAGCTCGGTGATTACTGGTGTTGTTCATGTAAAAAGGTTGTAAAGCTCTGCAGCAAGAAGAGTCGAACAGAACAGAGTGAACACGCTGTCTAAACTGTGAGTCTCCATACATCATGAGGATTGATGCTGAACGCCTGCAGAGACCTGGGGGGCGGGGGCGGTGTTTTTTGGAGGAAATAAATTCATTTCTCCTGTTATTATTTCTCTTTATTTCTCACAAGGATTTGTTTGATTTTGTCCCCTTTGTGTGTGTGTGTGTGTGTGTGTGTGTGTGTGTAGTTTTTGTAGTTTTTTTGTCTTAGTTTACAAACTCCAGAACATAAAGTTGCTCTTCGTAACTACTAAAGCTCCATTCAGACAGGATGAAGATCACAATCAAATGGGAAGGGCAGCGCTCAACAGAGTTAAATGTTGACCTAGCCCGCATTGTACGCTGCTCTGAACTGCACACTGCAGTAAGGTGTATTTGGAGTGATGTCTCTAAGTAGTATTGAGCATAGTATCAGGGTTAGGTTGATGATAAGGATATGGTTTATAACAGTGTAGTTTTTCAGTTGTAACGCAGTGTGTAACAAGTGCACATATAGTTTTCTTCTCTGATCATTTTGAGTATACTTTTGTTTTAAAACCTCCCCAATCCAATCGATTACGCATCCTCTAAAACTTCTACATTCTCTAAAATTAATCAAAATCAGCCCCAGGAGTTGAAATATGACTACATCTGGTTAAAAAACAGCTATTTTTAATTATGAATATATCAGAAATGGATTCAGCATCCTCATTAACCCCCAAATCCACTCCAATACTGTCCATATCGGCCAAGCAGTTGCTGAAATATAGTCTATATTGGGGATTATGCTAATAAATGCAAATGTTTATTAATTATGCAAATTTACCAACATATGCAAGTTATCATTCAGTAGTTTCTCAATGCTGGGGACCAATTATGTACATTTCTTACATAAAACTTTGGGGAACTCAACAGTGGAAGGCTAGTGACTGAAAATTCTGTTGTCTGATTTGAGGTATAGTGACAAATTTAGGCCAAAGCGAGTGAAATTTTCAAGATAGAAAAGTCAACGTGGAGCTTATCAAATTCTGAAGTTTTCTATGTACAAGTGAAGCAGTGATATTAAACACAAAGTGACAAAAAATAATCATTTCTGATGAGAATTTGTCAAACAAAGTCATTTTTTTGTTTTTTTGGGGATGTTGTGTGTGATAATTTGAAATAAGATGGCAGCAAGCCCCAGAATCTTATTTTGCTACCTTCCCCTTTGTGTCAGGATACTCCTTGCCAAATTTCATACATGTACAGTGTGACTATTTATGTCATTGTAGTGCCTTAATATTTGCATTTACATCATTTTGCCAGAACCATGTCCCAAAAAAGGGATTTTGGGCCCCGAGTTGGAGGTGCTCGTTATCAACTTGTGATGGCCCAAGGTATAGGAAATAACAGGAACAAGAAACAGGAACAGGAAATAATAATGAAGAAAAAGTTGCATAAAACACCACGAGGGCTGGACCTGGCTCCCAGCCTTAACAGGAGGAGAATTAAACATTCACCATGCTCCTCCTTAACTCATCATTGTAACCATGGTGACACAACAGGATATTATGGTTTGTAACGGGCATGGACATTTACCTGGACAAAGAAGAAAGAGAAGGACATCCATGGCTTCGAACAGGAGCTGCTGATGGATCATTGCGCACACTTTGAATACAGACACTTTGAGAAGAGCAGATCTGCTGTCTGTGGATCTCCTCTTTCAGATTTTGGATCTCCTCTTTTGGATCTCCTCTGGCTGTCAGCTAATGTGTGCTGGTTTACAGCTGGATCCCAGCAGGCTGACAGCTGTGGCAGCTTTATTTGATGCAGCTCTGACCTCTGACCTCTGACCCGCTGCCTGTTTGTGCAGGAGCTCAGTGGACAACAGTGCTTTGTGTTTCTGAATATATGAGTTTGGCCCGGTGCAGGTCGAAGCCTGTCTGACATCTGATCAGCAGTGTGTTAGGTCCTGGTGGTCACAAACCCAGCTGGAGGCCAACCTGATTTCAGCACCAACAAAATGATTACACACCACACACACACACACACCGCAGTATCCATGGAAACCTGTTGTCCAGTCCGAAGGCAGCTCGTTCATGAAGTCAGGAAGTCTAACCAGATGGATGTTTCAAATAAAACAACAACTGAGAAATTAAAGAATCGGGTTTGATCTGAACCTGTAGCAGTCTGACTCCAGTCTGAAGTGAACTGGGTGAGCTGGGAGCTTTGTCCTTTGTTCTGTCCTCTGCTGTCTGTCTGTCTCTCTGCTGTGTTTGCCTTTCATTAACCTGAACCTGCTGAGACGCCATAAACATCACAGCTGATTGATTAGCTATCAGCTCCTTCACAGTCAGCAGTACTCGGATCAGATCACACATTTCCCAATGCTGCGTCATTCAGCTCAAAACTTTATTTAAACATCCTGTTCTCTGTTCCCTCCCTCTGCTCCTCTCTCAGCTCTCAGGACCTCCTCACCACTCCTCCCTCACTGCACAGTGATGGCGTCTCTCCAGCGGATTCGTTGACAGCAGCTCATCAGGCCCCGCCCCTGCAGGTCCAGGTGCAGCAGCTGGCGAAGGAGAAGCAGAGCGTGGAGGCGGAGCTTCAACGTTGTCAGGAGGCGGAGCGAGAGGCCAGAGAGAGAGTCCGCAGGTCAGACTTAACCCTCACCTGTCAGCCTGTTTTTATATTTTAATACCAGAGTCAGTTTGTCACAGGTTTCCATACCTAAGGAACATGTCCACCAAAGCAATTTTCCTGAAGCCAGCGTATGTTTTAAATTCTTTGCAATGTGTAAGTGAATCAGTTTTTGTCCACCCCAAGTTTTTATGGAAGAAGGAAAACACTGAGTGTGCTCATCTGCTGTGTGTGTGTGTGTGTGTGTGTGTGTGTGTGTGTGTGTGTGTGTGTACATTCAGTGACCTTTACTGGATACCAGCAAGTCTGTTGATGTGTTAGTCCATACTCACACACAAACACACAGCAGGGTGACGATGACGAGTAAAAACATGGCCGTCAGTTCTAAAGCGTTTGATTGGCTGATGATGGTGATTGAGACAGGGATGGGTTTTTTACAACCTGAACTGAATCGACCCGTATGAGTTAAAGTCCAAACCCAGGCAGTCCCAGATCATCACATAAAATACTGAGCCCATGCCAACCAAGCCCGACCGCCCCCAAATCACTAGTCAGCTTCTAACGACTGGGTTCTATCGGCTGTGTGGCGACCCAGGCCACATGGTTTTTGGGCTCTTTAAGAGGTTAGGACACTTTAAGAAGTCTGGACCCTTTAAATTGTCAGAACCCTTTAAGGTTTTTGGGCTCTTTAAGAGGTCAGGACCCTTTACATTGTCAGAACCCTTTAAGGTTTCAGGATCCTTTAAGGTGTTGGGACCCTTTAACGTCTTAGAACCCTTTAAATTATCACGACCCTTTAAAGAGTGGAGACCCCGTAAGGTGTCAGAGCTCTTTAAGGTGTCAAGACCCTTTAAGAAGTCTGGACCCTTTAAATTGTCAGAACCCTTTAAGGTTTTTGGGCTCTTTAATAGGTCAGGACCCTTTAAATTGTCAGAACCCTTTAAGGTTTCAGGATCCTTTAAGGTGTTGGGACCCTTTAACGTCTTAGAACCCTTTAAATTGTCAGGACCCTTTAAAGAGTCGAGACCCTGTAAGGTGTCAGAACTCTTTAAGGTGTCGGAACTCTTTAAGGTGTCAGGACCCTTTAAGTGGTTGAGACCTTTTAAGGTGTTGAGACCCTTTAAGGAGTCAAGAGCCTTTAAGATGTAGGAACCCTTTAAGGTGTTGGAACCCTTTCAGGGGTCACAACAGACAAAATAATTTCCAAACGGAAGTGTGTGGAGTGTATTTAAATGTTCTTGTAATGTTTGTTTCTTGAGAGTTACTGGATGATTTGAAGCCCTTTGTACTTGACCTGAGCACAACCTGTGTAGTTAGTTTATTTGTGTTACTGAGTGAGTCTGGTGAATCTGAATTAACCCTTTAAAACATCAAAGTCACACAATAACACATCTGACTGATGGAGGCAGAGGTAGACCAGCAGCTCTCGTGTTCAGGGAGGTAAAATGAGTGTTTTTGTCGATGGAGTCTGGCTCTGAAGAAAGCAGAGATAAGTTTCACTTTCAGCTCAGTCCTCTGTCAGAAACAAGTGTCTGTTTGTGAAGTACTGAACATATGACCGGATAATTGAGACTTGGATTATACTGCACAAGTTCTGTGAGAGTTTGTAATCAGATGATTTGACATTGTTTTGCTATTGAACGCTTTTTACTTCAGTTCATCAACAGTTTTCTCAGTTCTTGGATTCTTCATTCACCGCGGAGGTGTGAGAGAAAACTTCATGAAGTCAGTGTAACACACAGTGATACAGAAATGTCCATTTGTATTCCTTTGAAGTATTCCTTTAATGGTTACAAACCAGTGTAACCAGTGACATGATAGAGTGTGTGAGCGTCGACCATGTTTCCTGTCATGAGAAACATGTTGCTGTATCTAACAGCAGCCGTCAGAGACTCTGGGATGTGTTCAAAGACTGGTTAAGCGTGTGGGACTAAAGAGATTTGGTTGTGATGATTCATATTCAGCGGACATCGGTGTGAGTGTCTCTGCCGCCGAGTTGATCAGGAAGAATTAATCCTTCAGATTTCGACTCGTACAGGATGACGGTCGGATGCTGAATAACGTGACTTCTTCTTCTGCTGCTTCTCATCTCATCAGTCTGAAGATGAAGGGATGAGATTCATGATGAAAACAGCTTAAGTCGTCCGTCTGCGTCCCGCGCCGTCCTCCTGGGCTCAAACCCGCGGCTTTCTGCTCTAATTTGGCTGCCAGCGGGGGGGCGCCCGGCTCTGAAGAGCCTCCCAAGTTTCTGAATAGAGGAGAGAGGAATATTTGCTCTCTGGAGGGGGGTGGCGGTGTGAGGGGGTGTGTGATAGAAATCTGCTGGTTATTAGAGACGGGAAGTTTAATTTGGTTTGGAGAGAGACAGAGCGCGAGAAAGAGAGCCTCAGTGAGTGTTAGAAAGTCATCCAGGGTCAATTTTCCAACTCCTCCCTTCTTCATTTCAGCTTCAGCTCAGCGTCCGGCTTTTCTCTTTCAGGCTCTCATTATTCTACGTGTTAGTCAGAACTCACTAACGACTTCACTCAAGTCAGAGCCTGGTGACTGCAGGAGACAAAGGGTTAAAAACATGACCACTGCTGCAGCAAACAGGAAGCTGCAGACAGGAAGTCAGTCCCTGAAAGAATGTCTTGGGGCTTGTTTAGTATGATCCAGGTCTGCCGGGTGTCTGACTTCATTCCGACTTGCTCTGACATCATACAAAAGTAGACAGCGATAATCTCACGAGATTGAGGTGGATGCAGTTTTTAGAGCCAGGCACTGCTGTTGCTCTTCACCAACTGCAAGACCCAAGGCATGATGGGAAATGCCTGGCTCTCACCTGATCTAACAGCAGATTGGTTTAGATGTTGACTTAAAGGACAACTTCGGTATTTTTCAACCTGGGCCCTATTTCCCCATGTGTATGTGTGCGTATGATTCATAGGTACAACTCGTTCTAAAATTGGTTCAGTATTCAGGGAGGCGGATGCAACCGGAGCCGTGAAACGAGCTAAAACGGTAACGGGGGCAAAGGCGTCCCGTGTATGTTTGCGCATTAAAAGTGCTTTTTTTCACCACTGACCAGTTCAGATCGCCAGTGCTATGAGTGGAGTCAGCTGTCAGTCAGTGTTGGAGCAAAGAGGGGGAGGGCTGCCCCGCTGGGTACTGTAAGTGAGTATGTGTGTATGAAGTGTGTGTGTTACGCTAGAAGAGGCAGAGTTTGGGACGGAGTCTTTTACGTGCTACCCCTGGAGTGTTACCGGAGTTTTTGGAGTGCTCAAATAAACGGGCCTTTTTCCCGAACACAAGAACAGTTACAGTAACACCTTACAGTTGTTGGTCTGATAACTTTTTTAATAACTCAACATCAGATTGGACAGGATGTGAGTGTTTCTGTGACTTCCTGTTCAGACTGTAGGCTGCTGGAAACCTCATCTTTCTGTCACCACCTCCTGCAGCAGCAGCCTGATCTCGTTCAGGCGAGGTGCAGTTCCTCTCCAACGAGCCTATTAACCTAAATGAGAAACACAAGTGTCTTCACTGATTACTGCAGGAAACAAACTGGTTAAAACACTGCCTTCTGCTTTCTCCTCTTCCTCCTCCTCAGGCTGGAGCGTCTTGTTGAGGTCCTGAGGAAGAAGGTCGGGACAGGAAGCCTCCGAGCTGTCATCTGATGTTTTGCTGAAATCAATGAACACTCAGTTTTTTTCTATTTTCTGTCGTCAGGTTTGTCTAAAGATTTTTTTTTTTTTAATTTTTACTCTTTATAAACATGTTGTGTTTTTGAGTATTTCTTCTCTTTTGATGTTTCTTCTGTTTATCTTATGTTTCTACTCATGAAATATTTCTGATAATGTATTTGAATTGATTTTCAGATGTTTGACAGATGTTTGTGAATCAAATAGACTTTTGTTTTCGGTACTTTTGTCAAAAATATGATGTTTATGATGGCTGTATTCTTTTTTTTTTCCTTAATTTCATGTTGGCTTGCAATAAAATGTTATTACTAATTTTCCATTAACGTCTGTAGTTACATTTACAAAGTTAGATCTGAACTTTTCTGTCATTTGTATTCAGTGTTGGGCAGTAACACCTTACAGTAATAATATTACAGTAATATTACTAATGTTACACTACACGCCTGTGGTGTCTGGTGGTATTTTACCACCAATACTTGCATTCACATAATGGGTGTAGAAAAGAAAGGTGTCAAAGGAAGTACTTCATTGATATCAGTATCACTTTAAGGGCACTGGTATCATAATTCTTGTTCTAGAATCTCTGTAGTGAAGGTTTCCTCCTCCCCCACCTCCTCTTCTTCCTCCCCCCCGTCCTTACCTCTAATTGAAGATCAGTCTGCCTTTTAGTTCATCTGTTGATTTAAGGTTCGTCTTTTAAACTCTCCTGTTTTAAACAGAAACTCTGCTCAGATTAATTTCAGAAGATCGCTGTGACAAATGTGAGGAAGCCGCTCTGACTTCATGTTCCCTAAAAACTTCAAATTAAAATTTAACTTTGACAACTTCCAACAAGTCGGTCAGACTGGAATCAGATGAAGCTTCATCAGACAAATCGGATCAGCTGAACACCAGAGAGAAACCGAACAGGACGATAATGTGGTGGGGGCGGAGCTGGGCTCTCCAGTGGCGGTGTCAGAGAGAAGGACGCCGTCTAAGATGCGTGTCATCTTGGACAATGTCTCCCACCCACTCCACGATGTGCTGGTCAGACACAGGAGCACATTCAGTGACAGACTCATTCCCCCAAGATGCACCACAGAGCGCCACAGGAAGTCATTCCTGCCTGTGGCCATCAACCTGTACAACCTGTGCATTTATAATTTGTAATCATCTTTTGGTTGCAGTTATTCAACTGTGCAAGATTTTTCAGTATACGACTTTGTCGTGCACACAACTGTACACATTTCTTATGTTTACTTTTATTGTATTCTTCTTAACTCTATTAATGTATATATTGTAATTAAATTTCACAAAATTAAATTTTAATGTCTTAAATACTAAACTAATACTAAACACTGTCGCATAATGCACATTTCATTCTTGAATTTTTAGATTTCATTTTTAATGCACATTTTCATTGCCATTTTTTTTATTTTATTTTACTTTATTGCTTTATATTTACATACTTATATTTTGTACTTTTATTCTTACTTCTTATAATTCTCTGTTCATTACATCGGAGCAACTGTAACAAATCAGGAAATGTTGCTGTGCTTACTGCAACAGAACCTCATCATCTGCAAAGAACAGACACTTCCTCAGGACTCAGTCCCGCTCCTCCCTCTTATCGGCTGACAGGTCCTATTCCATGCCTTCATGGTCCTTGGTCCCAAAGTCCAGTTTGTTGGATTAATGTGAACACTGTGTACCGTCCATGATCCTGTCTGTGAACATCATGGACAGGATCTTAAGGCGCAGCCCGGGGGGAGGAAAGCGTTCGCTTTGGGGACCTCAGAATTGCATCTCTGCTTTTTGCAGACGATGTGATTCTGTTGGTTTCATCACATTGTGACCTCCAGCGTGCACTGGGGCCGTTTGAGTATGAAGCAGTCAGGATGAGTCAGCACATCCAAGTCTGAGGTCATGGTTCTCTGCCAGAAACCAGTGGATTGTCCTCTCTGGGTTGGGAGAGAGTTACTGCCTCAAGCGAGGGAGTTCAGGTATCTTGGGGTCTTGTTGACAAATGAGGGTAGAATGGAGCGTGAGATGGATCAGCAGTTTGGTGCGGCTTCTGCAGTGATGCAGGCACTGTGCTGGACCGTCGTGGTGAAGAAGGAGCCGAGCTAGAAGGCGAAGCTTTCGATTACTGGTCCATTTACGTCCCAACCCTCACCTATGGCCATGAGCTCTGGGTAGTGACCGAAAGAATGAGATCGCAGATACAAGAGTTTCCTCAGCCTTAGAGATAGCATGAGGAGCTCAGACATCCAGAAGGTGGTCAGAGGAAGTAGAGCTGCTGCTCCTTTAAGTTCAAAGGGGTCAGTTGAGATGGTTCGGGTATTTGATCAGGATGCCTTCTGGGCACCTCCCATTAGAGGTGTTCCAGGCATGTCCAGCTAGTAGGAGGCCCCGGGGCAGACCCAGAACACACTGGAGGGATTACATATCTCATCTGGTCTGGGAACACCTCGAGATCCCCCGGAGGAGCTGGAAAGCATTGCTGGAGAGGGACGTCTGGAGTTCTTTGCTCAGCCTGCTGCTCCCACGACCTGGTTCAGGTAAGCGGATGAAAATGAAAAATGGACAGTATACTTGTCAGTCTGTGGCCTGGTCCACAAGAAAAGATGATCTGGAGTATGGTTCACATCAGGTTTGAAAACACAGTCAGTCTCCTGTGGACTAAATGCAGCATGCGCCGATCGTTGGTGATAAAGTAGGAGGTCAAGAGGGTCGATCATCACATTGTCTCCAAAATATAAACCACAGCAGGCATAATGGAAAGGTTAAGGTTGACTCCATGGTGTTGGCTCAGTGTCCTGTGATTGGCGCTCTTTTCTACACAGTTTGTTTACTAAGATACCGTTAGCTTAGCATTGCAGCAGCCATTTGTCTGCAGTAATCAGTATGTAGTTGCTGACATGTTGAGGCAGAGGGTACTGTCTGTAGCTCTGGTTGAGGATGAGAGGCTGTCAGCAGATAAACAGAGATCTGTGTGGGTACATGAGACCCTAAAAAAGAGGCTGGATCATGGGGAGTACCACCAGTTGGTCCAGGAGCTTCTCCTCCATCATGGACGTTTACAGGCAGATTTTAGGATGACTCAGGGGCAGTTTGACAACCTGCTGTCTATCATAAGGCCGTAAAGCTCTGGGTATCCAGCAACCACTACCACCAGTTTCTCCTCTATTGTTTACCAACTGTAAACTTGTTGTCATGACCACCACAGAAGGCCCGCCTCTCAAATCATCTAATTGGACAATGGGGAAAAGGCGGAGATGACGTGGGTGCTTTTGGGCTCTGAGTTGAAGTTTCTTCAACTTGAAGCGTTCAGAGCGTTCTGGAAAAAACGCCACAAAGGTGAGGCGTGTTGCAACAAAAGCAAAAAGCTTCATTCGCATTAAGATCAATTACAAAAAGGCGCCTCCAGCTGCTAAAACACTTTGTTAGTGATCAGGTCCTCAGAGGTGTCAGGTTTAAACAGTGAGTAAATACTTAATGTAAAATGCTGCTTCAGAAGTTTTTCACTCTGACCAGAACACAGCTCTCTGAAATAACGATGAATACTTACTGTGGTCAGATTTAAAGATTTTGAACATTGTGCAAAATGTTGTCAACCAGCAGCTTCAGAACAAAAGAATCTGCATCAGACTTCTATCATAAAACAATAGACAACTTCACCTGCTTTTTTAATAGCCTCCACTTATTGGAAAATTATTCTAAAAAGAACACGTAATGAAAGCGAGTAGTTGACTGACTGAATGTGGGAAAACGGAGACATACTGTTGAATGTGTACATATTTTTCTTAGTATACCTCGGGCTGTTCATCATTTGTTTAGCAAATGGATGAACTTTTTCAGAATGGACTTCTTTACATTTAAAAAAAAGGGAAAAAATTGAAGGGGGTTGTTATTTATAGGTTATTATGTAATGGGCTGCATGAGTTTGACACCCCTGTTTTAAAGAAAGTAGAATTTAAATTCTACTTTAACAAACTTCCATGAGTTCAGATTCACTGTGTTTCAGTTTGACTCATTTTAAAAAAATATAATTCACGTGTCCACAAAATGTTTGTTTTAAAACAATATTTAGACCATGAAATCTGATATTTCAAATTCCAGCCGGTTACTGTTGGTAGCTACAAGTACATGTTATTATGTTAAACACTCTGTCAGAAGCACCACAGAAGAGGAACTGATTCACTGCCTCACAGCGATATCCCTTTAGAAATTTAAACGGGTGAAACTTGAAATAATTTACTGAGAAACACTTCAATGTTTAAATGTAGTGAAGTACAAAAACATGGAAATTCTTGAGTACAGTACTTGAGTAAATGTACTGCTGACAGGTTTTTGTGTTTGACTGAACAAACTGTTGACGCTGCTGTTTTCTGAAGGTTTCACAAAAAGTTGCTTTATATTCAAACACACACACGCACACACGCACACACACACACATTAAACACACAGTCTGCTCTGCATACTAACACTGTCCAAACATGAGGACCAAACTGATTGGTCGACCTCTGCTGCAGTCCACACACACACACACACACACACTTATGTTGAGGTTCTGATGATGTTTGAAACGCTGCTGTTAAATTCGTCCAGTTTTAAGTTCATTCGACAGGAAAATTAAAGAGTCAAAGTTTAACAGATGGAGCTTTACTCTGAAAAGTTCAATAATATCTAAATAAAAAACAAAAAATTATTTTATTCTCTCATAAAACTATTTTTATTTTGATATATAAATCTAAAATGTTAGAGTTATAAATGAAAAATGATCATTTTGTGTTGCATATATATATAGACATATAATTATGCTTAAAACCTTTGTGTAGACAGAGGTTAAATTAATTCATTTAAAACAGGAAATGAGATCCAACAAAAATAAAAGAGTGGAAAAGACTTAATTGGTTACCAGCCTGTGGCTCGCCACCATCCAAGAGGCCTTAGGAGAAATCTGAGAGGTCGTATGGAAAAAAAGAAAAATGCAATGGTGAATTTATACTCTTATTTATCACTATTAATAAAATTAATATTTAAATTAATAAGAAAAATCCCTGTTCATGATTAATTTCCTGGAAAGATTAATAATCAAAACAGCAGAGGGTCAACTGAACCACACATCAGTCCAAATGTTGGATGATAAAAACTCTCCAATAACAAATGAATAATAAAAATGTATTTTTTCTTTTATGGTCATTTAGATTTCCCTGTAATTTCTACAAAATTTCAGTTCAACTAAATTTATTTTTCCTTTTTCCAGTAAAACACGGAGCAGCTAACATTAAACAATAAAAGTTAAAGTGCTAAAACAAAGTGTCAAAAA